TCAAGCTTGTGACATATTATATAGACTCATATATGCTTTGCCAAAGCCTAGATCTAGCCATTTTCATCCCTAGAAGCAGCAGGGTTGCTTGGAAAGACGCTTGGATTGGATACACACATGGACATTGTAAATCCCATGTTCTTTCTCTCGTTTGTTAAGCAAAATTTGATTCATTATGGAACGAATCTCCCCCTTTAGTGATTTTCTTTTTTGCCTGAATGATTCTTACGCAAAAGAAGTTGGTGAGTTCAATAAGTGAGACTAATATAGTAGAGATAATTTTCTACCCTTATTTATCGTGTCATTTTCTGACAATAGTCTCTTCAACATAACTTATAATTTAAATCCCCTTTTCATTCTTTATTGAATTCAAATTCTCTTCTTAATTTTAAAAAATACAGATGTTATATAAGTGCGTGTGATTATTAATTAATCTAAATTCAAATATCATTAGATCCCAAATAAAAATGATTCTACATGAAAAAGTTTCATTTACTAAACTTGCATTTAACATCATGTTTAAGAGATCAGCCTCTTTCTTATATTAATAAAATAGAATTCTTTTTTAACAAAAACAAAGATTGATTTTTTATATATATTTAACTGTTATGATTTTTGTATATTACATAATATTAAATAAATAAGTCATGCCATCACCATTAAGAAACAATGTTATAATTTATGAACAAATAACATAATAATTTAGTTGGGAGATATACATCCATTACTTTCAATATCTTGAAAGTGATATTTTATTGATGGAACTTACTTCTCATGTTTACAAAAAAAAACTGTGATTTATTAAAATGAGTTAATATATAATTTAAATTTTAAACTATATGTTTAGGAACAATTTACATCTCAGACTCATAAATGATATATCATATATTTTGAATCATAATTAATTAAATTAAAAGTAATCTTGCCCCATCTATAATTCTAAATTCACGTTCGTCGGTTTACACTTGGCGGGAGCCATCCTCTTTTGCCTTGGCTATCTCTCTTCCCCAGTGTATTTGTCAGGAATAAGGGTGTTCAAAACCGATCCAAACCGAAAGCACCGATCCAAACCAATCCAAACCGATAAAAACCGATCAAAACCGAACAACAATCAGGTCTGCTTCGGTTTTTATGATATAAAAACCGATTGGTTCGGTTCAAGTTCGGTTTTGAGTACTAGAAACCGAACCAAACCGAACCAAACTTGATTAAAAAAAATTTATTTATTTATTTATAAAATATATAACCATTTATCTACAAGAAGCATTTTGTTTTGAATTTTTTATAGTAATAAATAAACATTTTTAAAATACTTGAATGAAGATGCATAATATTAAGTAATTATAATAATCATGCTATGATCATCTTTAATTATTTACAACCTAAAAGCCTCAGCATTCAATTTATCTACAAGAAACATTTTGTTTTGAATTTTGTATAATAAATTTTTCATTATTTATTAAAATATAAATACATAGATAAACATTTTCAAAGGATTTTAATGAAAATACATAATATTAAATAATTTTAATATTAAAAACTTATATTAATTTTTATGATTAATTATTGTTATCACATTAAAATTTTATTATATTTTTATACCTCTATTTATGAAAAAAAAGGAGTCAAAAAGAATTAAATTTAATTTTAGTACATAGCACCATTATGAAGATGGAGAAAAGGAAAAAAAATTAAATAAGTGCATTAAAACTTGATCAAGACCTTAACCAAACCGAACCAAACCGAAAATAAAACCGAACCAAACCGAACTTTATAAAAATCGATCAGGTCTCAATTATTAGTAAACCGAATGGTTCGGTTCGGTTTGGTTTTTGTCCAAAACCAAACCAAACCGAACCTATGAATACCCTTAGTCGGGAACGCCCTGCTCATCCTTTAGATGTCCTTGAAATGAGATCTCCATCTACTCCTTTCATTTTAAATTATAAAATATTTTTAAATTAATTTTATATATTAATAAATTTTATTAATAAAATTATTAAATATATTTAATAATTTTATTTTTTAAAAAATAAAAATATAAACTTTTTAAAATACCCATAATTTAATATATTAAAAAGAGAAGCAATAAAAATTAATTATAAAAAGAGAAAGGATAATATTAAAATTGGTGCAATTAATAAAATTTTAATCTACTTAAAATGTCTTATATTTTAAGATAAATTTTTTTAAAAATACCTTATAATTTGAAACAGAGGAAATATTATTTATATTAATTTATTAAAATAAAATTTATAAAAATAATAAAATAATAAAATAATTTAAATAAATTTTAATTTTTAATATGATCTATATTTAATTTAAATGATCTAATTTAATATTAATTTTTTATAATTAAATATTTTAAATTTTTAGATGTACTATATACAATTTAAATGTTATATCTGAACTATACAGAGTATATATAAATAATCAATATATTTTAATTATAAAAAATTTAATATTAAATTAAATTTTTTAAATTAAATTTAGATTAAATTTAAAATAAAAATTTATAAAAATTATTTTATAATTTTATAATTTTTACAAAATTTTTATTTTAATAAACTAATATAAGTTAATATTTTAAATTTGCATCGTCCAAAAATTTGGATGGACCAGCAGGAAAACTGTTCCCTGTGTTTGTCTCTCTCTCTCTCTCTCCCCCTCTCTCTCTGCCTCTTCTTTCTCCCAATCTTCAACCTCAACCACCATGCTTTTACCGACGGCTTCGCCAGATCCTTCTGCTTCACCGCCTCGAATCCCACCTTCCTGGCAGTCTATAAAGCCCACCAACGTACGGAGAGCATAAGTTCTATGAAACTGCAGAATTAAGTATCAGCAGGTAAATGATAGGATATAATCACAGACATGATTACATCTACCAAGGCTTCCCCACTTGGCAATTGGAGAGCACCACTAAACCTAGTCAGCCTCCACTGGCTATGTTGCTGCAGCGTCCCTTATCTCCGTATATAGGTGTTATCTCCTTTGTCACATTGTCGTTTGGAGCAATGAATCAGAAAATGATGGCCCCATGGAAATCCCCGTTGGAGCTACAGCCTCCTTGCAAGAATGCCTCGTACATCGTCAATGTTAGTGGATCCAAGGTCCCCGACGCGTCGCATATTTGCGAATGGTTCTCGCCCCCCCTCCCCTAACCATCCTACACTCTCCAATGTCATCGTCGCTTATGAGTCGTGCGATGATAGATGGTTGCTCATCACACATTCCTGCAGCCCATTACATCACATGCCACTCATTCAACTCGAATTCAGTGGCAGCACCAATTAACACTGCATTTGCACTTGTAGTGTTATTTTTTTCTTTTATTGTTTTAAATCACAAAATTATTATAATAATAATAAATAAATATTATAAAAGTATTATTTTAATACTTAACAAATAAATAAATTTAATTTGTTAAAATTTGACTTGAATAGTTCAGATAAAAATTTTAATTTGAATAATTGAGAATTGTACCAAAAAATTTAGTTCGCCTCTCCTGCGTTCATGAAATTCCTACCAAAAAAGGCATAACCATGTTATGTACGTTTAAATTTTTCTCCTCAAAATACCTTCATTTTTAACTTTTTTGTATTATGATTTAAATGTATCTTTTTATTAAAGATAATCTTGCTTGCATCATATTCAAACATTAAATGCAGACATTTTTTTGAACAAAAATTTGGATATTTATTTATTATATTGCAAGTAACTAGTCCTTCTGCTGTACTCAAAACCTATGATCCTTTTTTGTGTCACCTTTTACTATTTTCTCTTTTAGTTACCGTTATTTTTTCCTTTTCCATTTAAGTAATCCATACATATATTATTAGGAAAATGATAAAAAAAATTTAAAATTGTAAATGACAATGATATTTTTTGACATGTTATAATTCTTCTCAAATCTATGGGATTTTTTTTAACATTAATGATTTCTGGTAAAATTTCTAAAATATCTTTAGTTTAAAATAAAAAAATAAAGGAAAAATTATAGTTGTTTTTTCTGTTTTAGTCACTGTTAGAAGAAAAATAGTCAATATTACTTGAATTAAAGTAATTACGGATATTTATAACACTTGAACTTCACTGAATTGAAAAATTATATAGGAAAAGTTATAATTTGATTATTGCATTCTTATCATTGCTAGAAGCAAAATAATTATTATTTAAATTAAAGTAATCATTAATATTTACAACATTTTAATTTTAAATAATAAAACATTTTCATAGGGGAAGCTATAATTGCTTATGTTGTTTTTAGTTATTATCAAAGAAAAAAGTAGCTATTATTTAAATTAAAATAGTCACTGATATCTATTTTTTTAGAGTTAGGACTGTTATTTTTTTATTTTAAATTAAAAGTATTTTGGTTATTTCATAAAAAAATATTAAGTCAAAAAAGTCTTTAGAAATTTGAAAAAAATTATAACATTTTTTAGAACTTGACTGTCATTTGCATATTTTTAAAACATTTTTATGTCATTTTCCTATGTTATTTCATTAACAAAATTCGCAGGCTTCTTAATTTACTTGCAATCTTTTTTCTTTTAAATTGTGCACCATGCACTGATTATTAAATTTAGAATATTTTAATTAGATTTTAAATGCCTGAGAATATGTACGAGTATCTCCAATTCTCCATAAAGTCATAAAGTAATACAGTCGCACACAAGGTACAGTATGTCTCATAAAAGAAGAAAGGAATTTGCCCATTAAAAAAAATGGGGCCCATCGCTATCATGCGCCTTGGGTCAATATCCCTATCCTCCTTTAAAATAATTCCAACCAGCCCCATTCTTAATTTTTCCTTTCATTCCTCCTTTCAATTGAATTACTCGCCGATTCTTTATTCCATGTGGCGATCGGAGATTCTCCTGCTAAGCCCTTCCGATTCCACGCGCCACCCGGCCGGTGACCCTGCTCCTTGATCTCTCCAATACAATTCGGTACGGCCAATTCGGTTCTTCCTTGATCTAGTTTCTCTATCCGTTTCCCGAGAAAGTGAAGGAAACTGGCGCTTGGTGTCCTTCTTTACTGGTTTAATTTGATTGGGTGTGAAGGTCAGCGGAGTAAGCCACATAAAATAAATAAATAAATAAATAAAGTCTATTTCAAAGAATTAGTCCAACTCCAAGTCGTCGTCAGGTCTAAAATAAGCTAATTCAGGGATTTCATTTGTTGGCGCTTTCGTTAGTTTTGTTTTGCATTAGAAAGTACAGCAAGTCTCCGCCGATGTTTGTTCTGGGTGCTGTGCTTCAGTAAATTGGGAGGGACTGCATGCTAACATTTGTTTTAGGCATGGCTGCGTCGAAGTACGGATCTTTTCTTCTTCTGCCTTCCTTTAAAGCGATCCTACTGTGATATACTTAATAGACTCTCTTTTCTTTTGTCGGTAAATCAACAGGGATTCATCTTTTGCTCTAGTGAATCAATAGGAATTGATTGAGATTTTTCTTCTTTTCTTGAGTAAACTGTTGCTTTACTTTTATTTTTTGTTAAAATTTATTGTCAACTTATGCTGTCCATACTGAAATATTTAGAAAAACTCCATACATTGAAGTTATTAGGAGAATTGATTCGACGAGTTGTTATTTATTTTATTTTTTTTAGTCAAGAATTTGTTCTCAAAGTTTTGGTTTTGGCACATCAAAGATTCGTTATGACTAATGCGCAAAATTCTGACTTTTGATTATGCTTTTTTGAGTAGAAGGAAAAAATCACTTCCTTTCTGAGTTCATTGCTATTGAGCTTTTATGCAACACTTTTAACACGTTTTTGGAATTACAGATACGGATGCTGCCTTTAAATGGTTTTAGACTGGGTATTCGGCCTTGTTTTATGTTCTAACTCTATCTATACTGTGAGATATGTCTTCACTGTGAGATGTGCTTTTGTTCTGCACTAAACTCATTCTATCCTTATACAATACTTTCTTTTTGCTTGAAAGGCTTCAGCTTTGGTTTGAAAAAGCAAACGGAGCCACATTTAGAAATCTCATGCTGGTTTGCTGAACTGCCGATGAGCAGCACTGATGTTATTGGCAGTAGAAGGAGGAGGATTCTTCTCTTCTTCAGCTTCAGGATATAGTAAGGGCCTGACCCTTCTTCTCTTGGGTCAGAGGAGTGAGGACAAACCCATGAGAGTTTCGCCGTGGAGCCAGTACCAGTTGGTAGACCAAGAATCAGACCCTGAGCTCCAGCTGGCTTCAACAAAGAACTGTCTTTCCCGCGGTTGCGCTTCCTTTGTTTGCTTTGGTCGCGCTTCCGCGGCGCTTGAAACGCCATCTCCTCTTAAAGTGGGCCCTGCCCAACACCATGATGTCTCACCAGGGTCATTGGTTTCGGACAAAGATCAATCTGCTCATCTTGATAATAGCAATGCTATGAGAAAGATAGCACTTAAAAGTAACCTAAAAAGGCCACAAGATAATAAGCCAGCTCCCATTGAAGTTGCTAATGAGCATGGAACATCAGGCGGTGAGGCGAGTGATTTTTCTGTTCAAGTACAGCGAAGGAAGGTGCAGTGGACAGATGCCTGTGGTAACGAGCTCATTGAGATACGAGAATTTGAACCAAGGTATTGGAATATTTTGTTTTCTATGAAATGTTTTAGCCAAGAATATTTATGTGAATGAATTATCTGTACTAAGTGCAATTAGCTAGTTTTTGCTATCTGAACTTTTCTTTCTTTGTTTAGTCATGAAATGTTGAAAGACATGTTTTTACAGATTTAATCATTTAAAATCATGATGTTTTATTTTTATGATTGACATCCAATGTATAATCCATGCCTTGATAACCTTTTTGCTTTCCCTTTTATTTTTTTCCCTAGCTGATTCAAATGTCCAACAATAATTAAACAAATGATGTAGGAAGCTCTTTGAACTTTGGCTTAAAGATTTTATTTGTGCATGAAGTGTGAATTTTGGATAAAGTAGGTGCACATGTGGGTTCTCTTCCACAGCCTTTCCCGTTTTAGCTCTTCATAGGGATTTTAAGCTCTGGAAAGCTTTATAATTTCGAAGTTAGTTTGGAAAAAAGCAGTATACCAAAGTTGTCTATTTGAATTAAAGTAATTAGTTTAATTATATCATTGAATGTATATATTGTATAAAGAAGAAAATATGTATCTATTGATGCTTGAGATTCTACCTATCCGTGCCTTTTGAATTGTGGTTGTGCTTGAACTACCAGATTTTGGATTGAACCTTCTCATATTGATTCTGAAATTTTTCAATGCCAATAGTGTTGATAAAGTTCTTGAATCAAGTTTGATAGCAAACAAAAGTGAAGTGGGAGGAGATAGTGTTGATGGTAATAATTGTTTTGTTAGTGGTTTGGGTAGGGAGATCAGCTAATATAAGGAGGACATAATAATTGATTCAACTTCTCTCTTTTGGGCTTGGTGCTATTATGATAAGCATTCAAACTGGGCGGGGAATCTCTAAAAGTTAGATGTTGAGATTGAAGAACTGCCTTACTTACCTTATTCAGCAGTTCATGCTACTCGATGAGAGGCTTGAACATCCCATACTATCTTGGGTTGAAGGAATCATACTTTGAATTACCGTGGTTTTTATACTCAAGTTTTATTATTATTTTTTTGTAATTTCAATTGAATTGGGATAAATGAATCATTTCATGGATTCTCTGGAAAATGTAAGGTCTCTTCCAAGTCAAGTGGTCTTAAATTTGGATTGTTTTAGTCAATATGATTAATATTATGCATTTGTTGTAGGCTGAGAGTCTAACAAAACTCTTTCCTGTTCAGTTACGTGGTTTATATTATTTTGTTCTTACCTTCCATATGCTATACTCCTATAGTTGTATCTCGTCAAGGTTCGATTTACATTCTAAACTATCTTAGCAATAATAAAATCCAATCATGCAATTGACCATTTGTATCTTTTTCCTTTTGGATCATGGAATAGGGGCAGAGCTCAAAGCTCTGTATTCTTTCTTGGTAGGGTTGGAACTTGATAGGCTTTGACTCCATCTTGCAAATTGGGAGCAATTTTTGCATAGCCATTTTAGTTCTGGAAGGCTTAAGAAAGGAATGTTTAATAAGACATGCCTGTCTTGAAGTTTTATATGTCTTTAGTTTGACATAAATAATAGAATATTTTAGGATACAATGCTGATATTGCTGCATTTATGGGGTATTAGGTTTGTTTTCTTTTGCTTTTCTATGGTTCTTAGCTAATTGCTGCTGCAATGAGGTTTCTCTGTGATGTTCTATTTGTGGTTTCACCTTAATTTCCTTGCTGTTCTCCATAAAAAATGGCTTCATGATGTCCCACTCTTGTTAGATATTTTGCAAGTTCAATGTCTGCATAGATGTGCACCACATCTTTAGGTTTTTAGTTGTTTCTAAACCCTGTATAGTTTATATTATCAGCCCCTTTACTTTTGTTGGTCGACTAGTTCCCACTATTTATGTGCTAGTAACAATGCCTTGTTGCTGATATGTAATAGATCTTTTACTTGGAAGCATCTTAGGGCAGGTTTAACATTGAAATATAATTAGTTGCATCCTTGGTTTATTAGCTCTAAATCTTTTAGAATGTTTCTATTAAACATTCAAAGGGATCGGGCAGCTTTGCTGCATAGTTAATATTTCCGATAACCCATGTGTAATTGATTATAAGCTGAAAAGGAAAGTGTCATTCAACTGCAGTGAAGTGGATGGATCAGATGATGAATTTGACAATGGGAACGACAGAACTTGTTCGTGTGCGATTATGTAAAATTGAATTTCCACCAAAAGATGATTGGGACTTATTTGGGAGGCGTCCAAGGAATCAGTGCTACTTCATGACATCATTTAGCTTGAGGAGAATGGAGCAATAATTTTACAGTGCAGTGGAGACGGACATGGGATTGAATTTAAAGTAATATCTGCCTAAGTGATCATCTGTGTCTACAAATGCTTGCCGCGGCCTTCAATTTTGTTCCTCTGCTTCTCATCTCAATCAGTTTACTGTATATTTCTTGTGTGATTACTGATTACATTATCTTTTGATTCATTACATTTATGCCATTTTATGTTCCCAAATGTTATATGTTATCATCCACATCTAGAAGAAAGATGATACAGGGGTGATGTTCATAATACACTTATGGAAGTAACTAGAGGATGTGATGATAGATAAGAGTCGAAAAATCAATTTAATGAGAGTTAGGCTTTAAAAAAATTGTTATAAAAATAAGGTGTTAATATTGATTTATTTTAGTTAGAAATATGGGATCTTAGTTGCCAATTCGGTATTTCATTTTTGGTGATTCATTACTAGGATTTTCATATTTGCAATTCATTTTTCGGTAAAAATTATTAGGATCTAATTGTTATTAAATTAAAATTTGGGGTCTTTGGCTGTCATGTCTCATACAACTGTTGCCTTACCTCAATGCAGAAAAAAAGGGAGAAATTGCAGCTTCTACCCTCTGATTCAAATTTCAAATGAAATTGTGAGCGGAATTATTTCGCTTGCTACTTGTGAGGAGATTGATGTTCATTTGGAACATGAGAAATATTTTTTATTATTACACTTGTAATTACTATGATTTATTATTATTTTTTTAAAGACATAAGAATTACAAATCCACATGATTCAATTTGACTCGACATGAATTAGTCAAAATTTAATGTGATTTTTGAAAACTAATTGCCGTATTTAAAAATAAATAAATTTTATAATTAGACAAATTATTTTCAAATTTAGACTTGATAATTATTTTATATAAATATATAAAAATTTACCATATATATAACATTTTTTTTTTGCCAATGATATAAATGATGCTTTAATCAAAATAAACGCATTATACATAAGGTCCCTGGCAAATTTGCTCAATATAACCGTTCAGTTTTGACATGAGTTTGACTTCAAATATTTTTTTGTAGTAAAAACTATTTTAACTATTACTTAAAAACTAATTTGAATTAGTCCAACGCAAAAAGATATTAAATTTTAGGCAAAGGTTTTTTTATAGTATATTTCGGGAGTGATTGTCTTAAAATTGTAACATGCTATGTGAACGTTTTGAGAACAAAATTAAAAAAAAAAAAATCAATGCCTCAAGCTAGCTAAGTTAATATATATATATATATATATATATAGGAAAAGGTACAAATTCAATTATAAATTATTTTTTGAATGGTGCTAGATAATTTATGATATAAAATAAATTATTAATTATTTGATATCGAGCATGCAACATGCTCTGTTTAATCTAAACAAATATCCATTTATTTTTGAGAGAATTACACTTAGGTCCCACATGAGAGAATTAATTACTACAAGGATTATTGGCAACTAAACTAAACTGCATTGACAACTTGTCAATAAACCTTACAGTAATTAATTCTTTTATGTAAAATTTTAATATAATTATCCCTTTATTTTTTTAACATAGATCCACACTCATTGATGATAGAGATCGAGAAGGTGAGAGATGAGAGGGAGGGAGATGACATCTTCACTCACTTGAGTCTCATCCTCTTCAACATTCTCTGCACAACAAGTGCTCCATGTCACCTTGCTCTTTTCCCACTGAGTCGACCATCTACACCTTCCATGATGGGGATAGCATCTCCAGGTGTTAGCAGTGTTCTGTTTAGGGCACGGGTTGGAGTCAAAGGAGGATACCTCCTTGCTACTTTGTATGAGGAATGAAAACGGGAGACGGGTAAGAAAGAGAGTGACAGTATTGTTAAAGATAAGTTAATAGAAGAAGGGGGTCTTGCTTAGAGAATGCTTAGGAGTTCATGGTTTTGACTCATAAGCCTTGAGAAGAACCCTCCGTCCTCCTTAATTCTGAAAGACTTTTCCGCCGAGCCATTACTTGGCATCTTCTTCACTGTTTCTCTCTGCAGATCTAAAGATCCTTCAATGGACCTCATACACAAACACAATATCATACATATAGCATGTAAAAATTGTGGATGTAAGGTGGATGTAAGGTTGCCCCTTGCTAATTCACAATTAACACAAAACTCAAAAACAATCATTTAACCAATTCAATTAGATTAGTTTGTAATTTTATAAAAATAAATCCAAATTTTCATATTTAGTAAACCACACACAATATACTAGGAACTTCCTGGGCAACACACCACTTTTATAGAATTATAATAAAAAATTATTTTCATTCTTAAACCCCTTAAATATAAAAAACAGAAGGGGGTTTAGCATTACACAATTCATTTAACCTTCAATACAACAATATGACAATATTCCCTACACTTGCACTAGTGTTTTCTATCAAAATCATTCAACCACTTTTACAACAACCTCAGGGTTTTAAATATAACCATCTAATCATAAATAAACGCATAGTGCAAGTGTAACAAAGTACATATCCTAATTAGTAATATCCTATCTAATTATACTAAATAAACAGGTATAAGAGGGATTACATTAGGAATATAGGAATTCCTAAACCTCTGAAATTTTTTCCCTTTCTGTACTCGAGTTATAACCTATAAAATATTGAAAGAGAGAGGGTGAGTATAATCACACAATAATCAATGTACGTCTATCCTATTCAATTATATATTAATTGACAAAACATATGGATTAGAGTTGAATACTCAAATATATGTGATCACACATAAAAATATCATGATTTCATAATTTATCATATGCTCATTTTTCCATAAATCAAATCACAAGACATTTTACCACAATACTAAAAACCATATGACAATGGCAGAATTAGCTATCACAACTCACCACAAACTTAGCAATCATGTAATACGTCAGATAAAAATATGCATGATCAAACCCTCATTATATTTTCCTTATTTTCTTCAATTGAAACCGTGAGATATAATACTAATTAGGACTTCGTCTGTATGATTAGACTATCTAAGCTCACTAATTATGAGAAGTGACCTGGCCAAAAATCACCACACTCACTCTCAAATTATGGCTTTTTCCATTTTCAAATTCCTAAGGTGTTATAAACTCTAAACTAGTCTCCTCAACATATAGGTGAAGATAGCTAGGTTCAAGTCTCTCAAAAAATTATGAGACAATCCCTCAACAAATAGTAAGACAATACTAGCCTTCATGCATCAAAAAGTGGCCATACAATATCATATGAATTTATCTACTCCTCTCCTTAGGTGAACTCCCGCTAAACGATCATATAATTTGTGATGTTCACACATTTCACAAATTTACAATTCAATTAACACATTAGGTTATAATAATAAACTAATCCCTTGTGAGCTCTCCTTTTGTTCAAAACTCAAACACACATTTCTTTACACTACATAATCATAATATCACTTATGGTACACATTCTCTACATCACATAATCATCATATCAACTTCTCAATTTAGCACAAAATTTTAATATGAAAACCTTCCAAGTTCAACTTACAATTATAACTAAATCTGGTTTAATAAAACTTCACATGATTTAAGGCATACATTATTATCACAAATTCAATTATTTAAATCAATTCTTTTATTTTTGAGAATATAAATCAATTAATAAATAATTATACACAAAAAATTCCTTCAGTTATCTCAAATCTTTAAAAGGTTAAAGGTTTTCTCTTTTAATAAATGCTTTCAAAGCTCGGTTTTCAAGCCAAATATAATGCATGGGGCGACTAATCTATAATTAACCAAACATATAATCATCAACATCAATATTCACACATTTAACTTTTTTCTTCAATCTCTAAAATATCTAAAGTCCTTATTTCTTTAGGCTTACCCTTTAAGTGTATTAACTCTCTTTAGCTCTCATTAGATTTATTAAGTGCTCAACTCACCATTAATGGCTTCCAACCATTTCAATAACTCCTACTGATTGCTCATTTTTGAACATTAATGACTCACAACCATCATTGATGTCTAAACCCATAAATTCTATGTTTAAATACCTCAATTAGCTCTCAATAACTTCATTTGAGTTAATAGATTCGGACTAATTACCTATATAGATCAAAAATCAACTTTATACTGCAAACTGTAGAGAGGAAGAGGAAGGACAGGAAACACTTGCTTTAATGATTGAGAGCTTCATGCTGTCTCTTTTTCTTCACAATGTCATGCCTTAGTAGAACCCAAGCTTTTTCCTTCTCCCTCATTTTCTCTCTACTTTTCCTCTATTTTTTTGGCCTAATGCGAAACTTATTTGTATAGAAAAGAGGCCGTGCGTCATGGCGGATGGTATAGAAAGAGACTTCTTCTCATTATGTAATGAGATGTAGCTTGCTCAACACATGTCACGATGTATAGTATAGGAAGAGGACCCTTGAATTTTCTTCTCCATTTGAAGCCTATATGCCTTAATTTCATTTTAGACTTGATCTTCAAGCTGCAACCACTTGCATTAACACACTTTAGCCCTCTCTAGCCATCCTCTAACACCATTTAACATAATTAAATTTATTTATCTTCCTAATTAGCTGAGGATTAAAAATTGGATGTTGCAGTGGATGATGTACATACATATTTACAAAGTTAGAAGGGTGGTTAGAGAGGAGAAAAGAAATGTTGCTGATGACAGCAAAGGTAGTTAGAAAGTGCTTGAAAATTAGAAGGAGGATAGGCTCTAAAAAAATAAACAAAAGTTTGTTCAGATTAGATGGAGAATACTGAATGCTGCATTTAGTATAGGTTATCTAGTGTTCAAATAATTTGCCTAAATTTGCACCTTTATTGTAAGGTAGATGACATTGTTGGCAAGAAAAAATTGACAAACGACACTCGTAATTTAGTCAAGGACTCAAGGGAATGGGGGCCGAGGTCGCCCCATCGCCCACTAAACTACAGCCACTTTTTCCAGTGGCAACTTGGCCATGCCTTGTCCACACAAGCCTTCTCTGATAATGATAAGCCACTTGACTTCCAAATCCACAAATCCAAACAAAACCGGGTTCAAGAAAAGTCTCAAAGCATCAAGCTTCGAAATTTAAATCTTAAAAAACAAAAAGAAAATCCGTGGGTAATTGGGTAGCACCACCCGGCAAAGAAAATGTCAGTGGCATCTTCAATCCCATGCATCAAAATCCCTTCTTCTTCTCCCTCAACTGCTTCTTCTTCTTCCTCTGCACCATCCTATTCCCTTCGATTTTCCTCCTCCTCTTCCTCCAGGTATTATAGTTTCACTATAAAGAATTCTCAGACCGAAGGGCCTCTGAGAAGACCGGTGTCTCCTCCTTTAAGGGAACCCCTGAAACCCACCCCTCCGTCTCCACCGTCGCCTCCGTCGCCTGTGGCGCCTCCTCCTCCTCAGCAGAATGTGGCTGCTGTCGTTGCGGACGATAAGAATGTTGTTACGTTAGAGTTTCAGAGGCAGAAGGCGAAGGAGCTTCAGGAATACTTCAAACAGAAGAAGCTGGAAGAAGCAGATCAGGGTCCCGCTTTTGGGTTCGTCGGGAAAAATGAAATCAACAACGGAAGGTATGGCATTTCTTTTTGGAGACAATGAAATTGTAGCTTTTCTTTATGTTGGTACAGCTGCTTGACTGCTAGGTGTTTGATTGAATGTTGGAATGATGGGCTATTCGTCAGATTACGGATGGATTTAAGCCTGACTGAATTTCAACAATACTTGAGCAAGTTTTATGGGATAACGGCTTAATTATTCGCTGCATTATTTTCTTTTCTCTCCTACAAGAATTTGCTTGTTTGATATATATCCTATTGGCAATAGCAGCCTTGGACTTGATTAGCTTAATTTATACTTTACGATTAGGAGCACGAAAATGTAGATGGCCATGAAGATGACTCATAAGTTAAATCTTTGCTAAACTTTCTGGTGTTCTAGTCACTGTCTTGCCTGGTTTATAGCGAAGTCTCTTTTATTGCCACTTGCCGTTCCTTTCCTTCGTTGTTATTAAATGGATATGTTTATAAAGATGTATGATTATACTACACCTTTCATTTCTGTTACTCTTGTCGTATTATAATAAACTGTTATTCTTAAAATTTATCCTCAGACTATCATCTTTTCCCCTACATTTTGTTCCTCTAAAACAATTGTAGAATTCACTGAAAGCTATGCTCGAAGGCCATCTTCAAGTTTTCTAGCCTTTATTTAGAATTTCTGTTTGTCACCCCTCTACAGAATTGGTTGAATCCAACCTAGTGGAATTTCAATTGGACATCAGATGTAAAAATATAGATAGGAAACCTTTCAAGCAAATCTCTGATGTTGATATCCATAAATTTCCATGAAATCTTCCTTTTTTGCATATTTTCTGCATTTTTTTTTTAATATCCATGAATTTTCTCTATGTTGAAAGGAAATTTTCATGAAATTCACAGAATCTCAATTTTAGAGAATCCATTCCCAGAAACATTAGGACAAGTTAGTGCAACTAAATGGAGGATGACCATGTAGAAAACTGGATCAAACCACTAAACTCTTTGGTTTTGGGTGACTGTATAAAGGGGCAGATGAATTACCCTATTCTTTTAGCACTATCATAGTCATGTCGTGCAGCAGGGGAATCCACTTTGTAAGCTTTGCTTCCTTGCAAAGTTAGAGTAACATGCATGATTTTTCTCAGGCCAGCAGTAGGGAAATCTACCTTGTAACTTGCATGACGTTATCACACTTCCCCTCACCTCAAGTTTTTTAGAATGGGAGAGTGAGATGAGTTAGTTTTGAGTGAAGGAATCTGAAAATTGCATCACCACATGGCAAAATATGGGTGTAGGATCAACTGGACAGTTAAGATTGAATGACCCATCATCTGCAATCAGCCATATTGATTGTAGACGATCTGAATCCTAAGGTCTTGTAGTGTTGTCACAGGTGTGGAGGGTTCAATACTAGTTGGACTCTGATGGAGACCAAGGTAGTATATGAATTATGATGCACATAGTCTCACATTAAGTGAGCTGGTTTTCTTATTTAAACAATTAGCTTTTGAGGGAGAATTCTCTGCTGACTTAGATGCTCACGAGACACAGGTATGGCTGCCTTTTCAAAAGTTCCATTGCTTCATAGGATGCAATTGATTGGATGGACATATAGATGGTCTCAATCGGCTAGTTGTATGAATCCGTCTGATCCCCAGAAAATTGAACGAGATAGGAAGTTAGAAACCCTCTTTTTACACCACACATGCACAAAAACCTGGTACTCCCTCCATCCTTAAATATAGTACCCAATTTTTTTAAGCCCTTGTCCCTTTTTATAATACCTTGTTCAAAATTCTAGGATTTTTATAAAATATCTCTATGTGTACCCCTATTTAATGATTTTTCCACGACCCTGATAAATGATTTTATCATTATAAAACATTCATTTAGGGGGTAGATTTCGGAAAGAAAAAAAACTTTAGGCTCAACTGACTTCGTTGGTCAACTGGATATTTTATTGAGGGACAAAAGGGAGCATTAGTTTTGCAGCATTGTTGGCACCACCTTGATGGCATTCTTTGGTCCTCTGTTGAATAAATGCAGTTCATGCAAGCACTACCTATTTTTTCAACTCGTTTAATTTAGGCTGTGTATTGGGAATTTGGTTGATGCAGATGGGCCATGTTTGGTTTTGCTGTTGGGATGCTAACAGAGTATGCGACAGGTTCAGACTTTGTTGACCAAGTTAAGATCCTTCTTTCGAACTTTGGGATAGTTGATTTGGAATGAGCAATTTTAATGTTCCGCGTTGTTTATAGCTTTGACCCTTACTCGTAAGTATATTTTGCGTAATCTGTTACTTTCATTTATAGCCAGCAACCAAGTTGCATGAAATAACAACATTGAGGATTTTCTTCTTTCATTATGTTCCACTCTTTGCTCTTAGCTAGATGGACAGATACATAGCATTTGATGAGCAAAATAGATACTTTCTGTTCATGGAAATAGTCTGCTTCCACAGAAAAATGGGATTGTTCAGACGTTCTATCATTCATAATCACATTTATCTATTTCTTTCCCTAGCTTTTTCCGAATGCACATGAATGTAGGGGTCTAAATCTGGTCAGAAGATATATATATTTTTTAGTCTTTGTGCAAGATTACAACTATGACGCAAATGAAGAACAAGAACTCACATTTAACATGTTAGAAGGACGTCAGATTTGAAGTTTTTAGACAGATAAAGTATAAGTTTTAATCTTTGAACTTTCTTTCAATTATTAGTTCAGTTCTTTATATCCTAGTTTTTGTAGTTTAGAGTGAAAGGATTATAGGAATTGAGTTGTTTTGAGTCAAGAAATTATAATTATCTAATTATTTCAATTAAAAATTTATTAGGATTGAATTGTTGAGTTAAGATAATAAAAGAATTGAGTTATTTCAAGTCAAAATATAGATATTGAACGGTAATTTTGAAAAAGTTGAGAGATAAAAAATTGTCTTTTCCCTTTTACATGTTTGGTAACTATGGTCGATAATTGAGATATTAAGAGTCTGAGTTTGACGCCAGGTTTTCTAAATTTAATTTTTGAATTATTTAAGTAATTCTAATGGGAGGAGAAAGAGAGTGATGGTCAGGTAGAGGAGGGTGAAGGTGGTGGTGCCTGTTTTATTAATACTACTGTCTGGCCAAATCTAAAAAGGCACGTGATCCTCTCTCTCTCTCTCTGTCTCTCTCTCTCTCTCTCGTGGTAAAAATTGGGGCAAAACGTCCAAAACATTCAAATTACAACTTTACATCTCTCGAGTACCGAACACCCAAGGCATCCCTGTGTAACATCTCCATACAATTATCAGGAACAATCTCTAAAAAAAAAAAAAACAGTATCAAAATTATAAACTAAACTTATATTAATTAATCTGTACATTGATTGCCTTCTCTATAAACATGAGAAAAACAAACTTTATTAAATCGTCTTAGCTCCTTAAGCAACAATGTCTGAAGCTGATTAATAGGCGCCCCACCATCAAACAAATTCTTGAAAATGCCAATTACAGGCATGTGATCCTCTTTATACGGTTTTTGGAAAAATTACAACGCCTTCGAATTTATAACATTTATTTTTGCAACTCTACTATTTACTCACAAAAGTACTTGGTATTTTAAATTTTCGTGAAGTATGATTTCTTTTTTGAATTTTTGAAAGTAATGTGTTGAACATCTTGTCATTAAAAAAATTAACTTTAACTATTAATTAATTTTAAAATTATAAAAAGTGATATCAAAAATTACAAGAAATGACTCATAAGATTATACATAAATATCGTATAAAAAATTAATGTCAATTAAATCTCCTAAATTATACATAAATAATAGGATATAAATATTATTTCTTATTCAATTAAAATATTAAAATATAATTTTGACCAATCAATATTTTAAAATACTTAATTGATATTTATTTTTTTTAAGATACTTGTTTATAATTTTATGGGTTCGTTTCTGTAATTTTTAGGTCCTTCTTTTGTAATTTGTTGAGTAATTGACAGTAAGTTAAGTTTTTTAACAACAATTTGTTCAATATTATTTTTAAAAATTAAAAAGAAAAATTGTACCACTTTAAAGTTTAAAATATCATATGCTCGTAAGTAAATAGTTAAAAGATAAAAATATTCCTTAATTTTAATTGAAATTTTTTTTACTAAACACTCTAAGCATTAGAATTAAAATTTTCCACAAATAAACGCAGGCAGGACAATACGTATTACTTTTAACCTAAATACTAATAATTAATAACCGGAAATCAATGTTAAAAATTATTAATATTAGTATTTTATCAAAAAAATTACTATATTCATAATTCATAAATATTAGTATGCATGGAAAGAAAAGGTGTCTCATATATATGTCTTCTGAATGAGTTCTATAATTTTAATTAATTCAATTTTGAAAGGTGTCTCCTATATAATTTTAGTGTTAAATCAATTTTAATTTTTTAGACAATGATAATGTATCCTTTACTCCCATTTATAAGTGAGTTTTAACATATTTTACCCTAACCAAGAATCTTAAAACCTATTAACTTTGTTTAAAAACTTAAATATCTAACAATAAGATGGAAGACTTTCTTATAAGGATTAGCTTACATCATCTATAAACTTTACCTATTTGATTTAATTTTAAATATATTAACTGGTGATATTCAAGAGAAAATATTTAATTGTATTTTTTTTAGATGATATAATTCTTATTCCATAGTCAAGAGTATATATTAACTCCAAACTTTATGAAGGAGGTCATTAAAATTCGAGGGTTTTCACCTGAGTAAAAATAAAATAAAATACATACATTGTAATTTTGATTAGAGGCTAATCGATAGTAATTTGAAAATGAGATCGTAAGATCAAATTATGCTACTAGGGAAAAAGTTTATATATTTGAAAACAATTATTTCAAATGATGGTAAAATTGATAGAAATATTACACATGAGATATAAGTTAGATGGTTTAAATGGAAAAATGTTACAAGAGTTTTTTTGTGATCAAAGGTACTTAATAAGTTTAAAAGAAAGTTTTATTAAAATGTTATAAAAATCAATCATATTATATGATAGTGAATGTTGAAATTTAAATAGAAAATAAAAAATAAAGTTGAAATAGTAAAGATAATAATGTTGAAATAGACGTGTGGGGCATACACAAAAAAATAAATTTTGAAATAAACATACACAAGAAAAAGTGAACGTAATATCTATTAAGAAAAAGATGGTAACAAATTATTTGAGATAATTTAGCCATGTACAAAAAAAAAGTTGTGTAAAACATTAGTGAAGAGAGTGAAACAAATAATTTTAAACTTGATAAAGAATTGTAGATAAAAATAAAAAAAACACTTATAAAAATTATTAAACAAAATCTTTTGACAAATAATATTTTTAAAAACTTGATTAATAATAAAGTATAATAACATCATTCAACCCATTCAGCCAGTTTCTTCCCATAAAAAAGACTTGTTAGTTGTCTTCTCTGTTAAATATATATGTTGTAATAGTTTATTTTCTTTGATCAATGTTTAATAAAGTTAAAAAAATTATAATAAAAAATTAATTATATGAGTTATAATTAGAAAAACAAAACTCCTGCTCTCCTCACCTTGTCAATGGGACGTGGGAATTTATTGAATCTTTTCAAAAAAAAAAACCCCCCGAACTTTTTTTTTTTGGCCCCGGTTCAAATGTGTTCCGCTGAAGCAAAGGGGAGGAGTAATGAGTAATCCGCTCTGGAAGCCAAAATCCTTTGTCAGATATGAGTGTTATCCACGTGTCTAAACCGTACGGGAAGCCAACATTGCTTATTTTCTGTTTACGCTGTCACTGTCGCCGCCTGTTCTTGTTCCATTGCCCGTTTGTTTGCCGAAACTTCGGGCCTTGCAATTTCCCGAAACTGTTTTCGCAATCACATTTTCAACGGAGCAACCAAAGTAAAGAAGCGCTCTCTGAAATGTGGGAAAAGGCTTTACGGTACTTGTTTACTCACAGCAAGATTCCAAAAGTGCCGGCCATGGGCGGCCTCGAGAATTCGACGCATTCTTCTCCTACCCTTTTCGTTCTCTCTCATCCCGGCAACAGTCCTTCAGCTTCTTGGCTGTCTGCTTCCGTTTCTTCATCACTTTTACTCGGGCATGTCACTCCATGTACACATCATTACAAATGGGGTCACATTGATGCTGGGATCGGAACCCTAGAGGGTTATGGGTTGCGTTCAGGCTAAGACATCGGGAGGTTCGGAAACTAGGGGCTTAGAGAGGCTGAAGTTGGAAAATGGGTGCGTTGGAAACGGGAATTTCGCTGCTCGTGGACGATCAACGGGTCAGAGATAAGACGAACGTGAAGAGATTGGTAGGATACACCAGCGCGAAATCAGAAAGCACCAGCTTGTGTCTTGTATTGAGAACGGGCATGGTACTGAGAAATTAAAGGAAATCCTTTGACAATGAGATGGTTAATGGGTGGCCCAGATGGTTAGTTGACAATGTTCCTCGTGAAGTTTTGTTTGGCTTGGTTCCCCAGAGTGCTGAATCATGCAGAATGATTGACAAGGTCTTTGTTTACGGGTTTTATTAGGTTTTATGTTCTGGATTATATAAGGCAAAATGAAGGTTTATGCAAAATGCTGTAGGGTTACTTGCCCTTACTACTGATCTAAGTACTGACCTTTAATTATGCCACATCAATTTGGGATGCTTTGGAGCATTCTTTTAAATGCAGCATCATTTTGGGTGTAAGTTAGATGCTTAGCTGCTTGAATGATTAAAAGTCTTAGAAGTTATCGATGTTTGAGTTTGGGTCTCATATTTGATAGAAGAGGATTTCAATTTACTAATTATCTGATTGAGCGAGATGTAAACTGAAAACAACAAGTAATGTAATTAAAAAGTCTAAGCATATTTTATGATATGTTGTATGTTTATCCCAGCACAAGGTTGATAGGTTTTGCCTGACTGATAATGGTAGAAAGCAAGCTAACTGACTAGTTCTTCATGTAAATATTATATTATTCAGGTGGGACAATACAGCAATGCTTATTAAGCACGAGATCAGGCCACTGAAAAACTTGTGGCCCTTAAGAAGTTCCACTTTGATAAATCCCAGCTTGTAAGCATTAAATTTATGGCAAGAGAAATTATGATATTGCAGAGATTGGATTATCCTAATGTCATAATACTTAAAGGATTAGCCACATCAAGAATGCAATGTAGTATTTATCTTGTTTTTGATTTCATGCAATCAGACATGGCTAGAATAATATCTCGTCCTGAAGAAAGACTCACTGAACCACAGGTTAATTTCTCATTGGCGCCTTTGACAATGTTAGCATTTCCCTTAATTTACCATAATAATCTGGAAAAAAAAATGATGTAGGTCAAGTGCTATATGCATCAATTGCTTTCAGGTCTGCAGCATTGCCATGATAGGGGCATTTTGCACCGAGATATTAAAGGGTCAAACCTCTTGATTGATAAACATGGGATGCTTAAGATTGCTGATTTTGGGCTTGCCAATTTTTATAACCCAAACCGTAACCAGTATCTCACAAACCAGGTTGTGACACTATGGTACAGAGCTCCTGAGATATTGATAGGTGCCACAGACTGTGGAGTTGGCATTGACTTATGGAGTGCTGGATGCCTCTTGGCAGAAATGTTTACGGGAATTCCAGTCTTGCCTGGAAGAACAGAGGTGATGATGCCCATATGATGCTTTTTGTTTGTGAAAATTATTTTCAACTAAGTTTCCTCTAGTTTTTGGTCTATTTTTGTGTCTATGTTGTGTTATCTGGTTTCTTCTATCATCTAGTTCTTCAAGTCATTTAAATTTCTCTGCTTTCAGGTTGAACAGCTTCATATAGTTTTCAGGCTATGTGGCACACCATCAGAAGAGTATTGGAAAAAATTGAATCTTTCTACAACATTTAGACCTCCAAAGTCTTACGGACCCAACCTAGCAGAATCTTGTAAGGATCTCCCTCTGTCTTCTTTGGGCCTTTTGTGTACTCTTCTCACGTTGGATCCTGCATATCCTGATGAGTGGTTTTGATCTTCACACCTCAAAATGTGTGCTTCATATTAGGTGTCCGTTTTAATTGCTCATTGAATAATTTACTCTTTTCCATTTGAAAAGCAAATTACTCTCCGTTATTGAGGGATGCTCATGTTAACAGTTCTACCCCTTATTTTGAAAATGCAGACTCCTTTCCCTTCAAATCAAGGTGTTACACTGCCACTTTCTCTAACAAATGATGAGAACTTATTTTGACTAAAATACCCTAATTTAAAATAGGAGGGAAGTTTGTGTAATATTTCAAAATTCAAGGTATGTTCTTGCATACTCTTTATTAAAATTGATCTTGATTGATATGCTAGGAACTTTTGTTTTAAGTACTGTCTCACAGAGAATATCAAATGATTGACAAGGATAATAAGAGCTGTTTGGTTTCTATTTTCAAAAACTGTTTTTTATTTAAAAAAAAAAAAACTCATATGTATAAGTGTTTTGGATTTAATTGTTTTTTAAAATTGTTGTCATTTTTCGTTTAAAAAAAAAAGGAAATATCTTAAAGTTGTTTTCATTTTACTTTTCTTGTTATCAAAATACATTACATTTTATTATTAAAAAATATATTTAGCTTGATCAATTTTATTATAAATTATCACTATTAACCTCCTGCAATCATTATTATCAGTCCATTTTTTAAGTTTAAAACTGTTTTTAAATTAATAAAACTAAATGGATTTTCATTTTGTTTTGTTTTCAAAAACAATATTAGAAAACAGTTTTTAAAAACTAAAACTGGAAGCAGAAACTAAAGAGGCCCTAAATTTCTAATTCTACTTTGGAAGTTAATATATTGATCCCTTTAGTATCCTATTTTTTTAATGCGCATAATGTGCTAGTGTATTTCAGTGCCCTGCGAACTTTCTGCATGGAATGGATTTTACTCCAAGGGAAGATTCTTATCATCTTTCAAGCTAACTGTCTGACTGACAGTTCTGTAAAATCATGAACACGCATGTTCAAATTGCACTAGATTTTATCTATCGAATTCCTAACAAAAAACTAGGATATTGTTGAATGTGTAACTTGTTCGAATTTCCCACATAGATGGCACCTTTTGCCTGCAGTTTTTCTTTTCAAGCCCATTGGCATGTGAACTCTCTGGCCTACCTGTAATCTACACGGAAGATGATGGGAAAAATCATACCACTGAACAGATCAAGTAAGTCGTTTTTCATACTCAATGTTCTAAGGTTGGCTTCAGTCAACTTACGGACGCGCACAATTGCTCAGACTTCAGAGATAGATAGATCTTATGTAAAAAATATACACGTGTATATTTATTTATGATGGTGATTGCTAGTATTTCTCCTGTTATCATAGCGGTACTTGCACCACACACTGCATAGGCATGTTCTCTGACCATTGCTTTTGGAGCTTTGCACACCACTGATCCCACTGAAGCAGTGTGGTTGTAGGCTGTTGACTTATGGACCTTTTATGACCTTGTGTTGCTCCTAACTCTTGCCTGAAATAAATAGCTGCTAATTCTTAAAAATTAATAAATAATAAATTGTTGCCTTTTGAAATTGAATTCTTGATATAAATTGGATTCAAGAGCAACCTGATTGGATATAAATCCGTATATTGTAGCTGTTATTGTAAGATGGTAGAAATGTTAAGCATCATATTCTGACGGGACTGTGTTCAGATGCACGTAGGTCCCTGATGGTGATCTTAATGAAGAATGGAAGATCTATTTTAGGCATTGAAGCAGAAACCTTTTTTGTGGACTTTATTGAGGCTTGATTGATAGGTAATTAATTTTTATTTATTTTGGACATGCGGTTTTTATGGTCTTATGGCAGAAGGACCCTGCTGGAGATTAAGTCAGCTTAGTTTTAAGTTCAAATTTATTAATTATTAATTCTCTACCGAGTTTGCCTTTCCCTACTTTCTTCTCTCATCTTCTCTTTCACCCTCAACCCTATAGGGGGAACATCAAACATCAATTCTCATGTGCTACATGTGTTATTCACCCTCAACCCTGTATTGATTTTTGTACCTAGGTGAGGTTTGTAAACTCTCATGCATTTATGACATCAGACTTTTGTTTCTTATATAATAGTTACAGGCATGTGAATTCTAAATTAAGACAATCTTGTACACATCATGGGAATCAAAGGAAAAATCTAGCTTCTGGTTGGCAAACTGAGCACACTGTATCTTCTGAAGAGGTGAAAATTCTCCCCAATCCTTCTACTCTCCTCATATTATATGTCTTTATTTTTGTGTGCCTGTTTGCATATATGTATGTATGATTGACCTTTAGAGATGGCGGCGCCTTGTAGAACCAAATGTAAAATTTTGAAAATTCAAGAATGTTCTAGAAGGAAGTCAATAAATCACACTCAGGAAGTTATAAGCCAACCTAAGATAAAATGCTAATTACAAACTTTAATTAAGAATTAAACTAAAATCATCTGCATCACTCGTGCTAATGACGTGCCAACTATTGCAGTGATCGATGGGGCTATATTAAAATTTAGGACGCATTTGAAACTGTTTTTGTTTTATTGTTTTGAGAACTAGTATTTTGTAGAACATGTTTCGAGAATAAAAAAAATAATAAAAATAGGTGTTTTTTTCATTTTTCCTTGTTATCTAGAACAATAATTCCAAAACAATTAAAAAATATTATCATGTTTCTGTTCTCCAAAACAATATTGTTTTTTTACTTTTCAAAACACTTAAAACACGTTACTAAACACATGTTTTTTTTTTTTTTTTTTTTTGTTCTGGAGAATAGAAAATTGTTCTCAGAATAGGTTGCCAAACAGACCCTTAAGTTCTGACCTTAAGAAAGGACACCGTTTAGTTGCTGTCTCATTTAACTCCCTGACAGTTATAGGCGCTGATATTGACCCCTTTAGTGTTGACTTATTCCAGAGGAAGCATTAGTCAGTTGAATATTTATTTGCAGTTTCCACATTGTCCACTGTACAGGATAACTCAAACTTTAGAAGAGAGATGGTATTTTTTCTTCTCACGTCCTTTTAATCAATCAAAGCAAAAATATTTAACCATATTATGATCTTCCCTTTAAAAGGAAAATGCTGGATACTTGGGTGGATTTTTCTGCATGCTATTATCACTACCTATGTGATGCTTGATTCATTCTTAGAAAGCAAAATCTGGGGAGAAAAAAGTGTCTCGTGCAAAAGTCACAGTCTATCAGGAATGATAGGGCTAATATCATGTTGAAATTTGGGGGAAAACAGAAATTTCATGAATGATAATGTGATACCCAACCAAAAAGAAAGAAACTTAGAACACAGTTAATTAAATATTGACGTTAATCGGAGAACCGAATGCCCTAACTTAGTAGACTCATATTTAAAGGAAAGATAGGGGCCAACAAAGTCTCAGGTTTTGTATTAGCAAAAAAGAGCTTGTATCGTGTCTTTTTTTTTAAAAAAAAAATAATAGAATGAAATGTAGGGTGTTTAGCTTGAGAAAATCAGACTTGTGATTACTATAGTTTGGCTATATATAGAAAATAGAACCTAATAGCTATATGAACAATTATTCCAGGAATTGAGCTAGAGAGTTGAGGCATATGTTCCTTCTGATGAGCATGATGGCATCCCCACAAGCAGAACATCGTCTGTTTCCAACACTGCTGAGCCAAAGGATTATCCCTCGCCTCTCTTTCATTCTCCGAATGTGGCTTTCGATGATCAAATGTCGTCCCATAAAATTCATTGCCATGTTAATGGGCGTGAAAATTTGAAGAACCTTCCTCCATTACTGAAGTCTAAACATCATCATGCTTCCAAGAAAGAAGACAGACCACACCACATCCTCAGGTCTGCTTCCTCCAGAGAATTTAGATGCCCAAAACGGGGTGGTTTGAAATTGACGGTTGGGCTTCAAAAGAACAGCTGACATAATAAACCCATAATTTTTTTTAACTGTTATTTATCTTTTTTTTTATTTGTATTTTCATTAATAACTGGAAGATCCTTTATTGTGCAATGTCATCCCCAAGTAACCTTACGTTCTTGCGCATCAGTCAATTCATGGTTCTCGTTGTTGACAGAAACTAAACTGAAACCCAGAATATTAACGTAATAACGTTATATGTTGCTTCACTTCTTTATAGTTTGGTTAGTGATGTTTACTACGCAAGTCATACATATAAACAGAAAGAGAAAGGAACATCGTAACTGTGCTTGGCACTTAAGAGTTGTTCGACCTGATTTGTGAATTTATTTATACTTTTATCCTTTTCACTCGTGTGTGTGGTCATTAAATTTATTTTTTTATCTCTCACTTTCCTGTATATAAATTGAGGAAAAAGTAGATCAAGTTCAATTGCGTATGGAATTGTTTGTCATTTTGGTCAATTTATCGATACAAGCAATTATTTTTTATTTCTATGTTATGAAGGACTCGTATAACAAATAAATTGAAGGTTGCACGCACTGGATAGAACCGATGACACGTAATGCAGAGTGGCAAAGCAACGAAAAGAAGTGTACTAATATATACTCAAAACTGAGTTCTTTTTCACTTCCTTTTTTAAACTATGAATTGATTTTAAATTTTTAATAAACAGCATTAGACATACAGGTTATTTTCCTTTTAAAAAATTGAAGTATTCACCATTCATGAATGATTCAGCCTGTTAAAGTTTTTTATACTTTTATATTTGATTAACGCGTACGACTTGTATTAATGGATTAGTTAAACGTAGTGATTGATTTATCTAAAATGTCCATGTTATGCTCTTAATTTCCACTTGTTCGCTCCTGCTCTTACTTTTGCTGCATGATCCATTATTATAATCATTCATTTAGAAAGTTTCGAGCAATGTTCGAAAAATCAAACATCCACAACCACCCGGCCGTGAGCTGAATCACATGTCCTTCAAGGAACAAGTTGCATTAATTCATGTTCTAATTTAAACATTTTAAAATATATTTAAACGGTTTTAAAAAAATATAATAAAGTCGCTCGTGTTTTTAAAATATAAATCTCAATTACTAGCAAAGTTTGTTTTCATGCTGAAACATTAGTAATGAGACCTTCATGTTTGGAGTTTGGATGGTGACATCATCATGTTAATGTTGAAAAATATAGACTTTAATTCTAAAGTCAACTTAGAGGTGGATCTTTTTCTAATTAAGATGAAGTCTACTTTGATATGCAATTTTTTTTTATTTTTTAATTAATTACAAAAGTAAGCTTATCATCTTGAAATGATTAGGATCAAACTAATTACCCCTCTACAAGTAGGGTGACCTGGACGCCACTACACCTATATTTTGATCTGTGATTTCCATATAAACTACATAAATTCCATGCAATTTGCATTATTTAGTTTAAGAAATTATGTTATTAAATTTAATAAAAAGAATAATATGACAAAAGGGGGAACAAAAAAAAAAACATAGGCTGGTGTGAGCCAAATATGTCAAATCTCCAAAATATTATTTAATTTATAAGCCATGATTTCCCATAAAATAAGCGCGCGCGGGTAGATAGAGATATACATAGATGAGTTCCTTTCTCTTGGCCAGAAGATGAATGCGATCTCTTAATTGATCTGTTGTCCTAATTGAATTTCATTCATCAAACAGTTCGGATGAATTTATATTATAACACTAAAACTTATCTTCCGCGCTTCATTAAAGTGACTCGTGTGTTTGCTTCTGTGTCGTACGTGTTTAATATATCTGTCCTACTTATATTAGTTTGGAGTATATGAGACACATTAAAAATCAAAGGTATGTGCGAATTGAACCAGCACTGGCTCGGTTAGAAACCATGATTCACTGATCACGAGATTGCTGATCAGGTTCATTAATATGTCTGCAGGTTAAATATTGAGATAGACCTAATTAACCACAAATCAACCTCATGTCCTCATCAATTACTGAAATATCAACTCCGCGAAATTCAGTATGTTTAAGTTCTGATCAACTGATGATAACATTCTCTCTCTCTCTCTCTCTCTCTCTCTCTCTCTCTCTCTGTGTCGGGCCTAAAATGAAATGAAATGAAATTAAAGAAATCAATTAGTGTTTAAACAAACTCTTCGTAAAAGCATTGACAACAAGTGTGGATATCATAAGTTACACACCTTTGTTTGGATTAGCAAGAAAGAGAAAGGTATTTGCTTGGACTAATATGAATGTGTAGGTCTTTTTCCTTGTATGGAGTCTAAAAATTGAGTCTCAGTATTCATAATTTATGAACGGCATGTCTTCTTGTGGATTTTATATTTCATTATCACATGAAGAAGAAGAAAATCCATTTCAAAATCATAATGGTCTCAGTTCTTACCTCACAATTAGAACACTAAGCATTACTTGCCTTTATTAGTGTTTCATAATCCTCTCCTGTTATACAAAAACACCCCACAATTAAACCCTTATAATCTATCCCATGTTCTCAGCTCCAACATTTCATATTCCACCTCAGCAACATATATTGAGGTTTCTCTTTATGTATATAAAATCTCTTACAGCTGACATAATATGTCCAACACAAACAACTTTTACAGCTGACAAACCTTTCCCTTTTTTCTTCCTTACTGTTACCTTTCAGAGCTGAGATCTTATGGGGTTTGCTATATATCAGATTCTTGAATAAAAACATGATAAGTAATTTTCTTTTTGTACAGTTTCAACATTACCTCGCAAGATTTTTATTGAAAAATCTGACAGCAAATTCAGAAACCTTACCAGATTAAGTATTAAATATAGAGATGAAGGTAATTATTAATAGCTGGTATCGGTGAACTTGTTCTTGATCCACTTGAAGCTGTTCCTGACACGGGATTTAAGCTTGCCTTCCACGGTGAAGCCATTATAAGCTTTGATCCTCTTCTTCCTCTTGAACTCTGGATCACTGGACGCGTAGAAGCCATTCCCTTTCTGCGTCGGCCCGTTGAAGTTGTAAGAGTTGGATCTCTCTCCGAAGCCATTGAACTCCGCGTAAGAGCATGACGACTCACCAACGGACTTGCTTTTCTCCATTAAAGCTAAGCTTCCTTCACAATCACACAGCCTCTCTCTTGATCGATCTGTTTTGTCTTTGTAGTCTGAGCACTGCATGAACGCACAAAGTGGTTGAGGGTTTTAAGAGGAAGGAGGACCCCGGGGGGGGGGGATTATGATCCGGTGTGGTGGCGCCCCATGTGTGATGTTGGACAGCTGCAAATAATGGGAATCATGACTCGAGGGTGAAGGTAGGACCCACTTGCTGCACAAAGCCATGTCACCGTCTGCTAGTGATGACACGGATTGAATTCACCTGGTTGGAGAACTTGTAAAGTGAACTCAGATAATAACACGCATGATCCATTCAGCATATTCTTAATTAGCAAATTGAATATTTTATGCCCCCTTATTTGTTGAGATGTTATATGTTAAAAATATAAGATATTTTTAATTTTTTAAAGTATAATTATTATTATTTTAAATGTTTTTGTTGAATAAATCACTTTATATTTATTTTAGGGTGAAACACTCTATTAAATAGAAATAAATATAAAAAGATAGAGTTAATTTAATAATAAGTAACTAATTTATTGAAAATAAGATTCGATTATTTCATATTTTTAAATGGAAGGAATATTTATTTATTTGGGAATAAATTGATGGGAAAATGTGATTTTATTGAAGAGATCTGCTTGGAACCTTACGAATATCTAATAATGCAAGTGTGTGAATTCTTTTAAATTAGTGTCAGGAGGACTCCCTCCCCCACAATTGTGATATGGGTGAGAAAATGTTGGTTAATTAAAATGTGCACGAAATGAAAAATAATGAATTCACATGTTTGGGGTAGGGACCACTTGTTTGATAGTGGTGGGATCAATTTGGTCGCTTTGTTTAGTGTTTGTGTGATAGGATAAGGCACTATGTTTTGCTTTGTACAAAGTACCAACTTCTCATTTTTCAAGCATTGCCAATTCTCCATTTTATTTGTTTGGTGATGAGGAATTTGTATATTTCCCCTATTAAAAAGATATGTATATATATAATACCTAAATTAAATTTGGATGGTTGAAATTATTAATAGTGTTTGGATTGATAGCTTTAAAATTGAATTTTAAATTTCAACTCTTGCATTTAAAATTCACGTCTTTAAAATTTTTTATTTGGGTAGTTTAAGAAATTTCAAATCAAGAAAGGAGACGAGTTCTATAACATCTTTTAATCAAAAAGCTAATTATTGATAAAGAGTAAATTAATAAATTAATAGATTAATTAATTTAATCATAATTTCAAATTGTGAATTAACATTTTGGGTCGTTAAACAGCTGCATAATCAGGTTAAGATGGAAGTTGAGCTAACTAAGTCGGAATGAATGAGCTAAAGTGATAAGTATCTCTTTATACCACATGTTATGATGCATGTTACCAAAATTTGACTTTTTAAAGAGGAGGTCAACTTGTGATTTATGAGAGAAAAAGGGGAAAAAGGGAGGAAGAAGTGCTTTGTGCTAAGGCATAAAATATCAAGCAACTAAGTTAGTTTTGATTTGTAATCTACTAGATAAGCTTTATATCTCCTTTCTCTCTTGTTCTACCCTATTATTTCTTAGTTTGAGATATGAAAAAAATTAAATTTTAGATAGAGAAGGGTTGTTGTTAGGTTCAAAGGTTGATAAAAGGTTATTGAAAATTAAATTAAGAGTTTATAACCAATTTGGTGGTTATTGATTGAGTTTTGGTGATTTGATTTAATTTTAGCCTCAATTAGAAGATTTTAAGCTGTGGAAACCGTAGATTGATATTGATGGATAGAGTTAGTGGAAGTTGTGAAAGGTGGTTTGGACATAAAATTATCTAAAGAAAGGGTTAAAAGTTTAAGCTAGTTTAACTATGCTATTTAAGTACTCATGTTTAATTTAGAATTGACATATAATGTTTAATTTTGTAAATTTTGATCATTTGAAACCTCTCTAAAGTTGAAATAAATTGAAGCTTTAGAAGTGACCATTAGTAACTCTTTTTGCAATAAGAGAGGTAACCAAATAATTTATATTATTTATTATCTAATTTGATTATTTACAAGTAAATTGTGAAATTTAACATATTATAAGTTGGTATGATTAATTCATAAAGTGGCAAAGGAAAAATAATTTTTGAGAAAATAATATATATATATATATATATATATTAATTATATTTGTATTTATAGCTAAATGACAAGGAAATGTGAATATGATAATGTTAAATGCATTATACATGTGGAAACCATGATTATGATAGTGAGGGTAAGAATTCACCTTAGTGCGAGTAGAAATTTGAAAATTATATGACTAAGCTGACATCATGGGATATTAGGTATGGCAACATGTGATTAATTGTTATCATGGGACGTCTGAGCAATCATGACTTGATTATGTAATGTTTATTACTTAAAAGGGGTGTGAAATTAGAGTAAACAACACTCCAATTATATGTGTAATATTAGAAATTCATAGTTTGGAAGTATTCAAAGGTGTTGACATTGTGTAAATGTGTAGTATAACCCTATTTTGTAAGAAATCAAGATGTTCAAGTGACCAAATTTGATTACTAGTGTATGATTGTTGATATAATTGTCCTTAAAAGTAGCTAATGATACAAGTTTGACAATTAGGGCGCTTGGTTGCTCAACAATGAAATAAAATAATCAGTTTGCATCCAGGAGTCAAAATTTCAAATAAAATATTAAATTAAAACAAAACTTATGTCATTAGTTAGATTGTAAAATAAGTTACATGTGATGCTTAATTCACTCCAATCGAACATTGTATGTAAAAATGGCTCACATTGAAAATTTACTTTAGGTAAGCTATCATATGATAATAGATTCTGTTATGTGCACTGTGGCATATGTCAACATGTTATGACACATAGTATAGAGCTAGAATTTGGCTTTCTGTACTACATGTGACATATAGGATATAGCATACAAGCCATAACATATGTACTTGCACGGGTGAAATTAACCTTTTTACCCCTATTTTCTTATGTGTAATGAATTTATCATCCTAATTGCTTGCATTGTGCATAAAAATGCATTATTTTGAGTTTAAACACAATTTTAAATGGTTTGGGGATCCCAAACATTTTGAAAAGTTTTATTTTATAATATTAAACCCTTCTATGGTTTAAGGCAAGCTTGGGAGCTTAATGACTCATAATTATCATTGTGTGTTAAATTGTAGTGAATATTGGTAATGTCAAGATAAACATTATAAGTTTAAATTTGAAATGAAAATAAAATATTAAAAATGATAAGTTTATCTTTAATCTTTAATCAACGAGTGACAAAAATGAATGATAAGAAAAGATGTGAGAGTCGTAGAGGCATTTATAGTAAAAACATAAAGAAAACAAGATGTTTGAAATTTCAAATAATTAAAATGTTAAAGAAATTTAAAATTATAAAAGAATTATAATAAAAATTTAAATCTAAATTCCTAAAATTTTTCAATCCAAATGAAGAATTTGGTCTAAATTTAAATTCAAATCCCTATTAATTCAAACACACTATTATATATTATATTTGTTTATTGAATTAGATATTATTTTTCACGATAATTTAAACATTTCTTGAACATTGTAATAATCTAAAAGGTTACATGAAACTAGAAAATGTCCCATGAGATGTACGATATTAGAGAAAAATTCAGTTTCCTTCTTCTTTTTCTTCTTCTTCTTCTTCTTCTTGTTTTTTTTTTTTTGTGGCTGATCTCTGTATTATTTAGGTGCAATGGTAAAGCCATAAATATATATATATATATATATACACACACACATATATATATATATATATATTTTAAGGGATGCACATGCACCCTTTCTTTTGGGGAAACTTATGGGAAAGTAATAAAAAAAAATTTGTATTGTGCTCCCTCTAATTATAAGATTTTACACCCCATGAATTTTGAACATTTTAACTAATTTAATAATACTTAATGATTAATTTGAGGCTTCTATTACCTATATGCATAACAATACTTAATTTAAAAAGGTAGATGTAATATCATCCTCCGTCTAATCCCATAATTAAAACCAAATCTCAAGTAATTAGAAAATAAGATTATAGTAATTATTAAAATACAAAGTTTTTAATGGATAGCAAAATGGGGACCCTAAGTTTACAAAACTAAAATCATTTTTAAAGTCTTACAATTAGACAAATCAGAGTTAACAAATATGCAGAAGCATAGGATCATTACATAACTGAGTGCATTTGTTTAAAAATTTAAAACAAGAGAATTTTTAAAAAATTCTGAGGCATGTTCGCCTCTGTGACACGTGACGTGGCCCGTGGCGCAATTGCACAATAAATTTTGTTGTTAATTTGACAACATTAGGGTTAACTTCCGACGCGCCCTAAATCTCAGTCGGATGTTCGAATGACACACTAAGTGTCTATAAAAATCTCTTTTCAAGCTCTAACTAATGGTATTAGTCTTAGCTCAAATTCTTTCTAAAATAAAAATTGGACACACTTTTTAAAACTTATACTTTTACAATAATTTTTGCAAAATCAAATGTCCAAACCACATATCAGAGTTTAAAAGCCAACGACACCAATTTGACCACATCCAAATCATTAAAACTATCTCATGCAATGTACTATATCACATGAAATACTTTCAGATCAAATTTTTATTGCTCAACCCCTTAAACTCAAAAACATAAAAAGGAAAATTTTACCACAATTTTTATTAAGTTCTCCAAATCATCTCATAATATGCTCTACTCTTACTTGCATTAGTATTTTGGCCCTATCACAATAATGCATATTTTCCAACTCACTCTCTAAGGCCTAAAATACACCTAAAATTTACAATTCACATAATGCAAGTAAGAAATAAATGAGGATTTCTAATTGACAATTAAAATTGTCATATACATATAATTGCTTAAAATAAAAGGGCTTACTAAAATAAGATCGTGGTCTTAAGCCTCTGGGTGATTTTCTCTGTCCACACCTCTTGAGTTATTCCCTGTAATATTGAAAATAATGAGGTGAGTACAACTACTCAGTAACCAAGGTCTGACTAACCCATACTAATGTATATCAATTAGTTTAAATGCAAGTGACAGTTAATGTCAATACTTTAGCCTATATTAAATATTTGAAAATAGATATTCATAATTTCACTCACATAATAGCATTTACTTGAGAAACAATACTTAAGAGAGTTGGTCACACAAATCATTAACAAATATATTGGAAGAAATTAAGACTCAACTCAAAATATTATCATTAGGGACACCATATAGACAACAGGTGCCCTCATTCACTATATACATGATCACACCTTTCTTATATCCTCCTTATTCCTCTGACATGAAACCGTGGGCTATAACTCAATAGAATGGTCTATATTCCATGACTTTCCCAGCCTAAACACTTGTGAGGGGATTACCAAAGCATGCCTGACTTACTTGTGGAACATGATTTCTCCCATTTTTTACACTGTGGGGTGTCATACACCCTAAACTAGCCTCTTCATTGAACTGATGGATAGCTAATTAGGTTCGAGTCCCTCATTAAAACAGTAAGATAGTCCCTTATTGAACAAGTAGGACAATATAGATATAATCAATCTGGCAAACCATCTGACAAATGGGCCTTATGGATCTTATCATCTACTCCTCTTTCTAGGCGATCTCCCGCTTCTCAAGATCATGCAATGTACATTCATACCATAATTCACACATATATAATTTATAGAACTTCACATTATTAATTTTTATTAAACTTTATCATTACACAAATTATTGGACTTCTTAAACACATTTTCATGGAACTTCAAACCAAATAAGTTATTGAACTCTAACTTCACAATAATTGTATATTCACACTTTCAAAATCATTGAACTCTACTATTTTAAACATCATTGAACTTCTCATAAATAAAGATTCATGTTATTTCTCAATTCGCAAAAATCATTGAACTCCCAATAAATATAATACAAAAATCCACCGATATTGTTCTCTAAAAAATTTTACGTCACAAGGCATAAAAATCACAAATTTGATTTAGTAGATTTTCTAATAAATCAAACCACGCCCTTGATAGACTAAAGCATAAATTCATAAATTATCAATCATAAATTCATAAATTCATTTACACACAAAAGCATAAGATAGAATTTTCACGGTTACTTTAAACCTTTGAGAGATCAAAGGTTTCACCCCTCAATTACTCACTCCCAAAGCTTCCAAAAAGCTTGAATGGTGTCAATATTAGTTACTCTACAAGCATTTACCATGCAAAACATCAATATCCATATTTGAGCTATTTTTCACTAACACTTCATCATTTCTTAAAACTCGTATAAAAGTAGCCATAAGGCTTCTTAGCTTCCTTTAACCCTTATTAATAACTTGAGCTCTTAAATGGTCATTAATGAAGTCACATTATTTTCAACCACCATATTTATGAGAATTTTTAGACATTTAATGTCCTCTAATTATCAATCATTATAAAACCATAAATATTAAGTTTACTTAGCTCAATGGTATGATCATGAACTAGAATATTCTATTGAATGAGATATAGCCATAGATCTCTCAATGCCCACTCTTCAATCTCCCATCACATCGGTTCCTGAATATCGACTTACTCTTGCCCACCCTTGATAGACTAAAGGCTAAAGACCTGGCTGGTTGGCAAGGCAAAATTGCATAAGAAAAAAAAGAGTTTAGTGGAAGAGAAGAAAGCTGCTATTAGCAAAGAGAGGGTGGATAAGTTTCTAGTTTATGGATTGATCGAGTTTCGTTCGACTTTCAACTTCTCGAGATTGGGTTGGTGTTCAGTGTACCCGTTACAAGATCGAAAAGAATGCTGATTATTGATATAAAATTTTTGTGAGAAAAGGTCCAATCCTTCAATATCATGATTGGGTCGACCAGGCCAGATCATGAGTGAATAGAAAATTGAAAACGTACATGGCTATTCCAGTTGAAATACTTGGAATAATTCTACCACTTCTACTAGGAGTAGCCTTTTTAGTACTAGCTGAACGTAAAGTAATAGCTTTTGTGCAACGTCGAAAGGGTCCTGATGTAGTAGGATTGTTCGGATTGTTACAACCTTTAGCATATGGTTTGAAATTGATTCTAAAAGAACCTATTTCACTAAGTAGTGCTAATTTCTCCCTTTTTAAAATGGCCCTGATGGCGACATTTATGTTAAGTCTGATCGCTCGGGCCGTTGTACCTTTTGATTATGGTATGGTATTGTTAGATTCAAACATAGGGCTACTTTATTTGTTTGCCATATCTTTGTTAGGTGTTTATGGAATTATTACAGCAGGTTGGTCTAGTAATTAGGGGGCGGCCATTCAATTGCCTATGAGACTAAGACCAATAGGTCAAAACTTTGTTTGTGCCACAGGTGTTGAACGATCTACCCTACACAAGTGTGGGCTTACAGGGCTAGGGCTCATAAACCCTTTCTTTCATTTAAAAATAGGGCTGTGGTTGGTCACTTTTTCGAGCCGGGATTGATAAGTGGAGGTCATAAAAAATAGATCTTTCTTTTCGCGCCTCAGATTAAGAGGAAGGGTAGCTTGTCAAGCTAGCCTATATAAAATTATATTTATATATATATATATATATATATAATAAGATTCGTTATCTTTTAATCGACTGTTCTTCTTTATCAATGCTACTAAGGTGACCGGTTAGGGAGCGCCTAATTGACTTATGTATGAAAGATAATGAGAATGGGTCCTTCAAAAAGGAAAAGGCCCTACTTAGTTTCCTATTGACTTTATTTAAGTCAATAAGTTCGGCTCATAACTTCTATAGACCAAAAATTACCATTATCAATCAAACACTAACTTCTACCATCAAGAAAATGAAAGAAGAGAGAAAGATTTAAGTAGGAAAGCTTACCTTTAATGTTTAAGAGCTCCAAAATACTCCAATACTCAATTTTCTCAAGCCCTAGCACTACTCTCACTGCTCTTTCATTTCTTCATTTCTTTTCTTCTCTAATGTATCAAATTTGTGACTTATTTCAACAGAAAAATGACCATGCGTTGTGGTAGACACACAATGCACCACGGCATATGGCACTTAAAGCCTCTTCCAAGCATATTGCCACGCATGCATTACGGCAACCTATCCACAAGCCACGGCGCATGGCACAGAATTACTTTCTATGGTAATTCTTCCTCTTCCATTCCTAGGTAACATAATTCTCCTTCGAACCCGCGTTTAAAACTGAAATTGAAACCAAATACGCCCATTAGGCCTCTCTAGTCACACATTTCACTAATACACTTAATTAGTTTATTTGAACTTAATTAATCTTGATTTAAAAACTGAGGGTGTTATAGTAAATTTATCCAGTAGTTTGTTTTCTTTTAAAATTAACAATAGTTTTACATATTACCATTGCAATGGTTAAAAAAAATTTGCTCCAAAGATCATGAAAAGAAAAAGGTAGCACTATCAAAATAATAATTTAGTATGGCTATATTTAAAAAAAAATACTTTTAATAATATTGATAATAAAATTATAGGTAAAAGAAAAGCAAATTGGCTTCCAATCTAAAGTTCAAATTCCTTTTAGAAAAAGTATTAACATTTAGTACATGATTGTACCTTGAATAATATTGTTCCTAATAAGAATATTTATTTGGGCAAGTTATTTTTTTAATACAAATTTTTATATTTTTGGGCATTCTAAAAATATAAACATTTTATTTTATTTTAAAATTTAAAACTTATTACCTCTAAAAGAATTAAAATATAAGTTAAAGACTATATAAATATAAATTATGATTATATGATATTGTAAACATAGAATATAATATAAAACTAATTTTAAAATGTTAGTTGTCACAATTAAACGTGCTTTATTTTATAAAAAAATTTAAAAAAGATGAGTATAACAAAAAATATCTTAGAAAAAAGTTGAGAGAAAAATAATTGAATATAAAAAAATAAAAAAAGTTGACAGAAAAATAATTAAATTTAAAAATGATCGGTCCACAATACCATTAATTTCGGTGTTATGTAAACAGTCAAATTTATTGTATTTTACTCCATATATGGATATAGATATAAGATAAGATTCTCAAAAGACTTGCATACAATTATTGCAATAGTGCCTGATTTGATATTTTATACTAATAATTATGTTTTCTCTTATGCATTACGCGGGGTTTGAGATACATGAGATATATGGCGATGATATGAGAGCTTTTTCTTTTTTTAATTTGTCAAAACCGTGACCACTTATAGATCATTCCCTTCGATATTTTAAAGATTAAATATTAAAAAATATAAAATATTTTTAATTTTAAAATATTTAATTACTATTATTTTTTAAAAGTGCTCATATTGAATAAATTACTCCATATTTATTATTTATTTTAAAGTAAAATGCTCTATGAAATAGAGATAAATATAAAAAACATAATTAATTTAAAGAAAAGTAATTATTTTATTAAAATTAAATTAAATTTAAAATGCCTTATATTTTATTAATGGAGAGAGTAAAATGCATGTTAGGTTGTATTTTGTTATATTTCCTACTTTGTAATAAAGTAATTTAACTTTCAATTTTAAGAGAATAGAAATGGTTGGTGTATATCTCTAGTGAAAGCGAAGGTACCAAGTCATCTCCCACTATTTGAAGATGGGTGCCTCGTTTTATCTAGTGCCGGGTGGGGCTTCTGCATATTAATATTATTGTTATGAAATCTGTGTGTGTGTGTGTGTGTGTGTTTCTATAAAGGTAGAATCGCAAGTAATATGGCAATACCACATGTCCTTTATATTTAGATTTATTAATTTAATTTATTCATAATTTTAAATTTTTAAAAGTAAAACAGCAAGTAGCATGGTGATGCCATTTATCTAATTATAATTTCTCTCCCATGATCTCAAAATTCTAAATATAATTTTGTAATTAATTCACAATTTAAAATATTAATTTTAAAAATCTTAAATATATCTATATAAATAATACCTATTTCTAAACAAAATTCTTATTTTCAAAATCAACAAAAATTGTTTTCCTTTATCCTTGATATTCTCTCGCATAATCTTAAATATAACTTTTTAAATTATAATTAATTTTTAAAAATAAATTTAATTTAATCAATATATTTTCTATTTATAATTTTTTATAAATTATATCAATCCACATTATAATTAAAAGAAAAAATTTATAAGTAAATTTAATTTTTTTTAATTTATAAGATTGTAATTTAAAAATATAATTTCTATCTCATGACCTCAAAATTCTCAAATATAATTTTTCAATTAATTCACAATTTAAAATTTTAAATTTAAAAATCTTAAATATATCTATATAAATAATATGCATTCCTATATAAAATTATTATTTTAAAATATACAATAATGGCTATTCTTTATCCTTAATATTCCCCTTGATAATCTCAAATATAACTTTTTCTATTTTGTGAATAATTTTAAATTGGTATAATAATTTCATGAATAATAATTTAAATTATTTTCTTACAAATTAAATCATATAAATAGAGAAATTAAAATTGAATTAAAAAATTATTTATTAATTTTTATACCAATGTTATTATTATTGTGTGCATTAATAAAATATTTACATTAAATTCTATATATGTTATTAATTAATTTAATTGTCATTTATAATTTAATTAAATATATATATATATATATATGAATTAAGTAGTTTATGGATATCTAAAATGAATCAAACGACTTCCCCTTACATTTCATTTCTCTCTATCCTTCATTTCCATTTATCTATAATATTTTCTTTTTTTTATATAACATATCCATAATCTTTTCTCCCATGATGTTCCCCATTATCATAATTTTTACATTAATATTTATTTTTTATAAATATTTTATTGCAATTTCTCTAAAACTTATAGAAACGACTTTCCCTCATCCTTTGATTTTCTCTCCAATCATATTAACTCCTTCATTTTATTTTATCTTTAATATTCTTTTCCATGATCTCTCACATTATTATAACTTCCTATCCTTTTATTTTAAATTTTAATTTTAACTTAAAAACCTATGCATTATCAAATGTAACATCCTATCCTTTTATTTTAAATTTAAATTTTAAAGATCTTAAAAACCTTCATGAATCATAACTTCTCTACCCACGTTAACAAGAACTTGTATTGTTTACATATATTTCTCTACTCATTGCCTCCTTAAATCCCATGCTTTTGGATTTCTCGTACTTCTTTTGAGCATTCAATATAAGGTAAGCAAAAAGCATCCATCACCAATGAGGTCAGTATTTGAAGTCATTGTCATTAGCTTCCTCCCTTCTCAAGTCATCAATTCCCATTCTTCATTTTTTGGACAAACAATTCAATTCATATCCCTTCGTATGTTTTTCTATATCTTTCTCACGTCTAATGCTTTAGAGAAAACTAATGGCATTATGTTTTTAATTTAAACTTAGGGAATAATAGCCCCATGAGAGAGTTTACCTTTTTTTTCAGCGGTTTTATTGTTCGAGCTTAATTTTCATATATATGCTCCTCAATTTGCTTCTTCTATAGTTCATCTAATTCATACTACTTATCTTGTAAAGCACTTGATATTGTTTTACATTATTCTTTTTAAGAGACATTATGATTTCTAAAATTTTATTTTATATAATTGAATACTACTAAAGAGTATATTTAGCATGGTTTTCAAATTTCAATGCTTTAATTCTCGACTATTCTTATAGTTCTTCCATTGAACTTTAGTCTAGAGTGTTTTGGTATGTTTTTAAAGTTAGATAACATTTACGCAATCATATTTATAATTTTCAATGTGATGCCATATCAATATAATTTTACCTACACAATTAGTTATTGAAAGTGTTGAAGTTGAGTTTGTTTCAAAAAGGTAAAGTTAGGTGGTTTATTGGAAGAATTTTCATTAACGTAATTGGAGAGGTGATTAATCTTTTTCTATTATTTACTTCTCATACTCAAATATTACATTTGTCTTAAAAAAATTGTATATAGTTATATAGAATATTTATATAATTTATCATTTATAAACTTTGCAATTTCAAGGTGCCACATCAGATTTTTTTATTATATTTTTTTCAAATATTATAATATTAAAATCATAATTCCTTATATTATTTTTGCAATTGTCAAACCCCACTTCTTCAAATATTTTATTTTCTCACTCGTGTTGTTTTCAAAATGATTTATTAATTTATCATAATTCATATTGTTTCCTCATTCCTCTTCCATTATCTCACCCATCCTCCCATTATTGTAGCTCCCCATCATGCTATTCTTATTTTTAATTTTAAAAACTAAAGAATCATGGCATAAGATAAATAATCT